CTTAACATTGGTAAGTGAATATTTGAGAGTGATAATATTAGGAAACTAGGAACTGACGCAATGTATATGAAAGATATCACTAACAATAATATGTGTATTTTTTTAAAAAACCCGATGGCCATGAGTATAGTCCATCATAACTCATCTAGATCTTGGTGACTGGTTAAATAAGAATTCCCCTAACCAACTAGTACACTAGACTTTCCTCACTATCGGGGTGTGTCTCGTGGATAATTACTGACTGCAATTCATGTGTTCACTTTCATTTTGGCCCTGTCTTGTATATTTTTCCTTCCTTTTGTTGTACTGTCATGTTTAAAACTGATTAATGAGAATCCAGTTCTGTGTGATGACTAATTTGATAATTCCACAATTACGAAATATTGTCTAGTCATATCCTTTCAGGTTGGCCTGCGGTCTTCAAGAGAAAAGGTTTTGTGAATGCCCTTTTCTGATATGCATGATGTTGTTGTTGTTAAGTGCCACCAAGTCAACTATGACTCATAGAAATCCTGTAACAGATCTGAACCTTGCCCTTTCCTGTGCGATTCTCACAATCTCTGCCATGCTCAAACCCATTGCTGCAGTCACTGTGCCAATCCATCTTGTTGAGGGTCTTCCTCTCTATCTCTGACCTTCTGCCTTTCCAAGCATGATGTCTATTTGCAAGGATTGTTTTTTCCTGAGATTATGCCCAAAGTAAGACAAATTTCACCACCCTTGCCTTTAAGGAGTATTCTGGTTATGCGTCCTCCAAGACAAATGTGTTTGTTCGTTTGGCAGTCCATGGTACATACAATACTCTTTTCCAACACCGCAATTGAAAGGCTTGGATTCTTTTTTAATATTCTTCATTCAATAGGCAATTTTCAGAAGCATAAGAAGCAACTGAAAAGGTTATGACTTGAATCAGATGTACCTTAGTCTTTAAACTGACATCCTCATTCTCCTTATTCTTTAAATTGATATCCTTGCTCTTTAGATCTTTGGAGAAGTGTGACAGAGTTCAGATGTCTTCTAGGGTGTTCTGGAATATAACCATCACAGGAGCAAATCACCCAGCCCTTCTTCTTTGGAGCCACTGGGTGGGTTAGCAGCTGAATACTTAACCTTCAGAAATAATATGTATAATAGTCTTGACCTTTAATAAAGTAAATCAGTTAATTAAGTAAATCAGTAGTTCCACATAAGAAAGACCTGGTGATCCTCTCCTGTAATGATTATAGCCCAAAAAAAAAAACCCATGGGACACTTAAACTCTGTCACTGCAGTAAACTATTCATTAAAACATTGACTCAACTAAAATGGGGGTAGGTGTGTCAGAGTCAGCGAGACTGGCTCAGGACAGGGCATGCTTCAGAGCTGCTGTACAGAGGGTCATTATGAGACACAGGTGACTTGACAGCATATGACAACAACCCATATAATCAATAATAACATGCTTCTGAAAGTATGCATAAGAAATTAATAACAGTGGCTGTTGCTGAGCAGAGGAACTTGATACCAAAGGTCAGTGAGAGTCATTTTATTGTACACCCTTTTACACTTTCTGACTTTCAAAATATGACCTACCCACTCAAAGGTTTAAATTTCAGCATATTTTAAATTTAAATATATAAGTAACAACTCTCCTTGCTAATTAAATCATTTTCCTCAACTGTGAGAGTCCCAGAACACTTAATTGTGCTCATGTAAAACCTATTCTTGGACCAGGAAGCAATGCTCAGAACAGAGCATGAAAACACTGCATGGTTCAAAATCAGGAAAAGAGTGTGTCAATGATGCAGCCTGTCTCCATACCTTTTCAATCGATATGCAAAACAGATTAATCAGGAAGCAGGGCTATATGAAGAGGAAGGTGGCATCAGGAGTGGAGGAAGATTCATCAACAACCTACAATATGCAGATGACACAACCCTGCTTGCTGAAACTGAAGAAGACCTGAAGCACTTGCTGCAGAAGGTCAAGGACTGCAGTCTTCAATATGGACTGAAGCTCAACATCAAGAAGACAAGGATTCTTACCAATAGACCAACTGGAAGCACCATGATAGACGGAGAAGAGATTGAAGTTGTTAACAATTACAGCTTGCTTGGCTCCACAATCTTGTCACCAGTAGTCAGGAAATCAAAAGACGAATTGCAATGGCAATGTCTGCTGTCAGGGACCTCTCCAGAATACTGAAAAGTGATGATGTCAGCCTAGAGACTAAGTCTTGCCTGAGCCAGGCCATGGTCTTTCAATTACTTGTCATGCATCAGAGAGCAGGATAAGAACTAAGGATGACAGAAGAAGAATTGATGCCTTCAAGTTATGGTGTTGGAGAAAAGTCTTGAAGATACCATGGACCTCCAAGAAAACATATAGGCAACAAATAGAGGGTGAAACCGAGTCTTTCCTTGGAGGCTAGGATCTTGAAACTGCATATCACATGCTTAAGGCAGGAGGCCAGGAGAGACCAGTCCTTGGAGAAGGGCATCATGCTCAGAAGGGTAGAAGGACAGCACAGGTGAGGAAGACTGAGGGTGAGATGGATTGATAAAGTAACTAAGGTAGTGGGAGTAGGCGTGTCAGAGTCAACGAGACTGACTCAGGACAAGGCAGACTTCAGAGCTACTGTACATTGGGTCACTATGAGTTTTAGGCAACTCGATAGCACATAACAACAACAATATGATGAAATCATGAGGTGAGAAAATGTGAAGAGGTCACTTTACGTGGAAGACACTGAGGACTTTTTTAGTAAGTGTTTGTTTCACCAGAACTGATTTAGAGGCGAGAAAAGACTTGGATGAACACATAAATAGATCTTTTTAAAAACTAAGCCTACCTTGGAGTCATGCAGTAATTGTTAGCTAAATGGTGGTCTAGGCCATTGGGAGCTGCACTGCTAACCTAAATGGCACACCTCGGAGGGAAAAGGTTGGGCATTCTACTCCAGTGTTATTTACAGCCTCAGAAACCCAGTGGAGGGTCAGCTATGAGATCGTTCTCACTCAAGAACAATGAGTTGACATAAATGCAAGCATGGTGTTGTTGTTAGGTGACATCAAGTCAAGTATGACTCATAGCAACTCTATGAACAGCAAATCTGAACCTTGCCCTATCCTGTGCCATCCTCACAATCTCTGACACACTCAAGCCCAGTGCTGCAGACACTGTGTCAACCCATCTTCCTCAAGCATAATGTCCCTCTCCAATGAACAGCCTTTCTTAGCACCATGCCCGAAATATGTGAGGGGAAGTGTAATCATCTTTGCCTCCAAGGAGCACTCTAAATACATACAGGCATAGTCTCCAAATATGTACACATATACCTTTGCATAAGCATGGTGACTCATAGAAATGTAAGGACAGTGTGTCAGCTAAGTGAGTGTTGTGGATTTCATCTATGTATACTCACAAGTTTCCATGGACAGAACTTCTGGGAGATCCCTTAATACTGGTAAGGTGTCCTGCTCTGGACCCACACAGGATACGGCTCAACCAGAGAAGTGAGGACCCTGCCTTGGTGGGCTTGTGCTCTGAAAGATTGTGCCCAGCTGAGGGCTACTGGGTTAAGTCAATAAGACCCTAGTAGAACATGAGCCTGTAGCAAGTGGCCGTGGCTGCTTCCACACACAAGGAGGGCTAGGGACAGAGTGGCTTATTCCTCTTTGCAGGAAAGTAATCAGTACTTTTCCCTAAATTCTTACTCACCTCTGAGGTAATGGTGGAGAGTGGATGTGTATGACCACTCCACACAATATATTTGCTCATCACAGCAAATCTTTTAGTAGGGCACAGTGTAGTTACATAAGACTTTGTTTGGGGCTCATTTATCTGGTTAAATTATTTCCTGTTCCTATTGTCATCAATGGCATCCACGTCCTACACAACTTTCCTCTGGAAACTCTATAAACTTTGAGAAATGACGATGGTTATGGAAAGGCTTCAAGCCTTTTGTTCATAGGGTTGCTATGAGTCATGCTCGACTTGACGGCAATCAACCACAAAACAACATTATCATCAAAAGAAAGGAAGACCCTCAATCAGGTAGATTGACATGACGACTGCAGCATTGGGCTCCAGCATGTTAGGGATGATGAGGATGGCACAAGATAGGACTGGGTTCAGGTCTGTTGTTCAGAGTGTCGCTAAGAGTTGTACTGGACTCAAAGGCACCGAACAACAACAGAATGGTCACCAAGTCTAGTTTGACTCACAGCAAACCTACAGGACAGACGAGAAGGGCCCCTTAGATTATGCAAGGCTGTGATCTTTGAAGAAGAAGACCTCCCAGGCGGTTTCATTTGGGTTTTCTTGGAACAGCTGGCAAGTGTGAACCACGTAGTTCTTAATCAGGGAGCTCTGGTGACAGAGTCCATAGGAAGCTGTACGAGTTCACTATTAGCTCTGCAGGAGAAAGACGGGCACTGTCCTCTCGTGCAATTTACAGTCTCTGAAAATCCTCTGGAACTGTGAGTCGGTCCCTGCTCAATGTCAATACGAGATTGAGTGAGCTATTAATCATTGCCTCACCAACCCAGCCCAACCACAGTGACCCTCCATCATTTTTTGAGTTGGTTAAATCTTCCAGAAGGAAACGGGTCATCTTCCTTCTATGGCATGGCAGGTAGGTTTGAACCACTGTCTTTCAGTTAAGACTCTCTACGAGGTGGATTGATTCAGAGACTGGGGTAATCGGGATGGGTGTGTCAGAGGCAATGAGATTGGCACAGGATAGAGCAGGGTTTAGGGCTGTTGTACGTAGAGTCACTATGAGTCGCAAATGACTCGGCGGCACGTAGCAACAACAACAACCAGCCTGTGCTATGAGGGCTCCTTCCTGACTTACCAGACCTCCTAAATTTACTTGAGTGGGGTGGAAGTCATATTCACTTATTTCTCTGTGCCTGGTGTGTGTGTGTGTGTGTGTGTGTGTGTGTGTGTGTGTGTGTGTGTAAAACATCATTTGTCATCCTCTCTTTTTCCCTCCCTCTCCCTTTCTCTCTCTCCAGGTGATTAAGGAAGATATCCTCCAGGAAAACAGCCACGAAGTTGGTACCTATATGCTGCTGAAGCTTGCCAAGCTGCGGGATGAATTTGACATTGTGGGAGACGTCAGAGGCAAAGGCCTCATGATAGGAATGGAAATGGTGAAGGACAAGGTAGGTTGTGACCCACGGCGCCCTCTGCAGGTGCTCTGGGGAAGTGGAGGTTGAATGCTCATCTCATTTGTTCTTGGGAGCAGCCAAAGTCACCAAGAGCTCATGATGGATTGCTGAGGGGTGCACACTATAAACAAAATGCTAGCAGATGGTGACAAATTCTAGAGGCGGGAAGGAGTATGTTTGGAAAAGGGAACTGATAGTCCTCTTGCCAGACCATGCTCTTGGCCAAGAACATGGACTACGATGGAATATTTGGAATGAGAGAGATGAGGAAAAGAGGAGATTATTTGTAAAAAGGGCAAGTGTTCAGAAGTGAAAAAGGAAGACCAAGAGAAGTGTGAGGGGCTGGGCTGGGACTGGGATGTTAACGATATAGATTGGCATTTGTGTGTGTGTGATTATGTTTGTTTGTTTGTCTGTCTGTGAATGGGTTTCAGGCTCTCAAATAACCAAAGAGGGAAAAGTAACATGTAACCAAAAGGAATGTGTCTTTTCATTATTCTCCTCTGTTGTCTCAAACTCTGCCATATTTTCTCCCATCCAGTTACCCCTCCCACAACTACTGTGTCTGTTTCTTACCCTCCACCATTCTTCTAATTACTCAGTTTCAGAGGACACAGTAATCTGATTCCTTCCTCTTCCCTGAAGTCTGAGGGCAAGCCCTGCAGTGCTCTGCCATGCCACTTGTTCTTCCCTTTGTTTGCACTCTTGCCCCACCATCTCATGTTATAGGGAAGTATTGCTTTCCTTTGGAAAAACGAACTGCTTCTCTACAGAATGCAACAACATGAAAGTCTTCACATGGACGGAGAAAGCATCCTGCCTACAGCTTGGACTCTTGTTCCAAGAGAATCTGCTTCCCTGTGAGGGACTCTGCTCTTTGTCCTTCTTGTCACAGCCTACTAGAAGCAATGATAGTCGTTTGACCCTCTTCATAGTCACACCAGACCATGGACATAAGAATCATCCATCAACAGCACACAGGATAGCCAGTTTCAAGCTGGAATGCTTAAATAAGGTCATTAAAGCTAAGACAGGACAGCAGGAACATAAACCAAGAATAGTGCTACAAGACTGTAACCTCTATCCATAAGCCATAATACACTCATCTCTTTTTTTCTCTCAAGGTATATAAGCTTTATTTGCACACCTCTGTTGAATAGACCATCAACTGCTCACATGCAAGTTCAAATTAAAACTAAAGAAGGTTAAATCATATCCACAGGAATCAAAATTTTACCTTGAGTCTATCTCCCATGAATTTAAAAAAACCAACTCAGGAATAGGTTTGAGGTCTTGAACACTAATGAACAAAGACCAGATAAGCTGTTGGAAGATATCAAGAATATTGTTCATGGAGAATCCAAAAAGTCATTACTAAGAAGGAAGAAAAAGAAAAGACCAAAATGGATGTCAGAGGAGAGTCTGAATATTGCATAAGAGTGCCGAGAAGCCAAAGCAAAGGGAAGAAATAAAAAAGTTAAGGAGTGAATAGAAGATTTCAAAGGGTTGCTCGGGAAGACAAGGCAAAATATTATAATGAAACATGCAAGGAGCTAGAGTCAGAAAATCAAAAGGGCCAAACTGTCTCAGCATTTCTTAATTTGAAAGAAATAAAGAATAAATTCAAGCCACAAGTTACACTGCTTAAGGATGCTATGGACAGGATACTGAATGATTCCAGAAGCATTAAAAGCAAATGGAAGGCGTATACAGAGCCATTGTACCAAATAGAATTGGCTGACACAGAAGAATTCCAAGAAACAACATATGAGCAAGAGGCAATGTTGATGAAGGACAAAGTTCAGGCTACTCTGAAGGACTTGGAAAAAATAAAGCCACAGAAATTGATAGAATACCATTTGACTTATTTCATCAAACAGATGCTGCCCTGAATATGCTCACCAGTTGTGCCAAGAAGTCTGGAGGACAACAAGTATGGCCAACTGACTGGAAGAGATTCATATTTATTCCCATTCCAAAAAAGGTGACCCGACAGGGTGTGGAAATTATAAAATATCACTAATATTACACAACAGCAAAATCCTGCTGAAGATTATCCAGAAAAGACTTGAACAGTACATTGACAGAGAATTACCAGAAATACAGACTGTGTTTAGAAGAGGCCATGGATCTTGGCAGAAAGCTGAGAGTACCAGAAGAATGTCTATCTGTGTTTCATTGACTATGCAAAGGCATTTGACTGTATGGATCACAACAAATTGTGGCTAACCTTGAGGAAAATGGGAATCCCAGAAAACTGCATCGTGCATATATGAAACCTATACTTGGACCAAGAAGCAGTCCTCAGAGCAGAGCAAGGAAACACTGCATGGTTCAAAATTAGGAAAAGAGTGTGACAGGGATGCATCCTGTCCCCATAACTTTTCAATCTGTATGCAGAACAGATCATTCAGGAAGCAGGGCTTTATGAGGAGGAATGTGGCATCAGAATTGGAGGAAGATCATTAACAACCTTGCTTGCTGAAACTGAAGAGGACCTGAAGCACTTGCTAGAAAAGGTCAAAGACTGTAGTCTTCAATATGGATTGAAGTTCAATATCAAGAAGACAAAGATCCTCACCACTAGGCCAACTGACAGTACCATAATAGATGGAGAAGAGAAGAGATTGAGGTTGTTAGCAATTACAGCTTGCTCAGATCCACAATCAACACTCTTAACACCAGCAGTCGGGAAGTCAAAAGATGAATTGCATTGGGAAAATCTCCTGTCATGGGCCTCTCCAGAGTGCTGAAGAGCAATGATGTCAGTCTAGATACAAAGGTGCACCTAATCCAGGCCATGGTCTTCTCAATTACTTGTTTTGCTTCAGAGAGTTGGACAGTGACGAAGGAGGATAGAAGAATAACCGATACCTTCAAGTTGTGGTGCTGGAGAAGAGTCTTGAACATATCATGGACTGCCAATAAAACAAATAGGTCTGTCTTAGACAGGGTGAAACCAAGTCTCTCCTTGGAGGCTAGGATTTTGAAGCTCTGTCTCACTTACTTTGGGCCTGTGGCCAGGAGAGATTGGTTTTTGGAGAAGGACATCATGCTCATAAAAGTGGACAGACAGCACAGGAAAGGGAGACCTCAGATGAGATGGACTGATACAGTGAATGGGGCAAAAGGGGTTGGTGTGTTGGAGTCAGTGAGACTGGCTCAGGACAGGGCAGAGTTTAGAGCTGCTGTATATAGGGTCACTATGCATCGCTGGTGACTCAACCAATAACATTCTACGACAGGTTTGGAAGCAGGAGTGGCATCCACTTCCTAAACCACTTGCCTCCGGAAACTCTATGAACTTTGATGTGTATCGATAGTGGTAGAGAGGCTTCAGGCCTTTTGTTCTTAGGATCGCTATGAGTCGTGCTCGACTCGAATGCAATCAACAACAACAGCAACTCTCAACCTTAATGTCACCTGACTCACATCGTCCAACTTTTCAAGCTATCTGCTTAGCATTCAGACTGAGAAGCCTAGGGCCCTCTGAGGCCAGCAGATACTCTGCCCCAGTTTAGGTGTCTCACCTCTTGCCTAGGGTATCTAGACTCCTCAAAATCTAGAATCAAGAGAAACATGCTCAATAAGAAAAGAATTATTCCTCCCTTCCCCATGATTGCACACCCAAATTCTGCATCCCCAAAGGTATATGAACACATATGTCCATCAGAACATTCCTTACAAGAAAAACACTGGGATCCTCCAATGACCCTCAAAGCATGTCAAATGTAGTTATCGTACATGCATATTACAATGATAAAATAACATCTGACAATGTGCCTCTTGAAAAATTAATACACGAAATATTTTCATTCTATCACAAGATAAAAACAAAATACTGGATAGATTTATATTCCACTTGAGACTCGGCATTATCATTATCATTCCCTAAATTAAGAGGCTACATGATTAAAACACAATGCCCTCTTTATGCTAAATTAACTAACTCAGTCCCATAAGGAGAAATATTGTATAAGACCATTATTGTAGAATGAATACAAAGATCCAAGAAGGGGGAGCAGAGGGGTGAAGATGGGGGCATTAATCATAGGGTGGCACAATTTGATGGGGGGATGAAAGAAATGTGAAAGATCTGATGTGAAAAGCAATGTATACAAACTTTGTAAAAAAAAAAAGGATAAAATAAAAGTTTAAAAAGCAATCTTTAAAAAAAACACAACAACCCCAAAACAATGCCCTTTCTCATCTTAAAATGTTGTCTGTCTTTTCATGAGACAATGCCTCATTAGTTTCCCCCCTGCTTTTCTCTGTGAGATGTATCCAAAATATACAGTTGGGCCAGGAGTGGAAATATGGGCAAGGAGGGGAGGTGCTGGCTCAGAACAATGGTTGAGAGAAACCAAATGAACTCCTCTTTGATGTTAGGCAAGGTTCCACCAATACAACTTCCTCAGGAAACCTTTCCAGATGCTTCTGGTCCCCTCTGATATCCTTCCAGTTCTCACATGAACCATATCATACACAACTCTGAGACGAGAAGAATTAAAGGATGCCTGACGACCACTCCTGGTTGGTCTTACTGGGATCATAGCGGAGGGCTCCAAACAAAACAGGAGAAAGTATGGAACAAAAAAAATCAAATAAAAGATTAGACTTGCTAGTCTGACAGAGACTAGAGAAATCCCTGAGATTATGACCGAGAACATCCCTCTAATCTGGAGTTGACACCGTTCCTGGGGAGCACTTTCCATCTAGTTAATAGTTGTGTTATGTGCTCTCAAGATGAGAACAACTCAGAGTGACCCTATAAACAACAGATATAAACCCTGACCTAGCCTATACCATCCTCATCATTTCTGATATGCTTGAAACCATTGCTGAAGTCACTGTGACAGTCCATCTGATTGAGAGTCTTCCTCTCTTTCACTGACCCTCCACCTTTTCAAGCTTGATATTCCTTTCCAAAGAATAACCCCTCTCAACACAAGCCCAAAATATATAAGATGAAGCTTCCCCATCTTTGCCTTGAA